ACTTTATCAACGATTGCTACGACCATTGTAGGAAATATAATATCAATTAATACATGAATTATTCTATCAATTATTGTGTTAGTCATTACATGGAACATTGCGTTAAGCATTATTACAATTAATCTATTAATTTCTATTATAATACTTGTGACCCTATGAATGCAAATAGGTTACATGTAGAAGATTGAAATTAATGAGAGAGGAGATATTGGGGACAATTACTTTTTAAATAGAAACTGTTTCTAGGTCTGTAGGAGAAGATAAAGTCCGGAGCGTGCTGGTGGCAACGCGTCCGACCATAAACTACCCAATTTCCCTTACGCCCTGCCCCAGTCGTTCCTCCCCCGTTTCTACAGTCCTCGTAGTACAAATGAATCACGTTCCGCTGTACACGTACACCGGTGCCACGTGAATTAATGGGAAAAGTTCGCAGCGACATTGGAAATTGGGTGGCTGCGACTCTTAACATTACCGAAACCGTGTTACGCATTCCTAGCTTCAGTCGGTTCGAATAGTTTCCTATTAACAAAGCGAGACCCTAGAGAGCCAACAGAGTCCAGGGATTTTCACTCGTACGCGTCGCGCGCAATTTTATTAACACAATTTATCCCCGATATTTGTTAAAGACATTTATGTGACGTGACGCGATGGCGATAAACGAGATATGAGAAACGGAACGGTGGAAAAATAAGCACGAAATGATATAAATGTGAAACGCAAAAATAGACCGGAGGGAAACGTATTAAAAAGTGGAGTAAAAACGAGATCCGCGCGCACACAAGGGGGGGCGCCTGGCCGAGGGGCGGTGTATCGGGAACGTAAATCCCGTCGAATTTCAAGCCGGCCGCGCGTACCGAACGCGATAAATTATATTCTTTTATTCGTCTGCACACTTTAATAAAAAAAAAAAGATACAAATCTTTTTATCAATACCGTTTGTTAAAAACAATATTTCTTCCACGTCGAGCCCCGCAGCGGGGAGCAAAATATTTATAAAAAGATCGGCTGTGTTTTTTGTTTGACACACGGTCCGTGACCGAGAATGGGCGAAACGCGAGATTCGGAATAACGTTGCGATCGTGTATCCGGTTTCTCTTTTTTTTTTTTCAACCGACCGTTTGTACAGACGAACGTAGGAGGAGGGGAAGTGGGGGGTTTAAAAATAATCGACGGAACGATTTCTAACTACAGTGTGTTTACATCGACTTTTTATGCAACAGTTTAACGCAGAAATTACTATGTTACCTCGTTAACAAGGGTTTAAAAATACACATTGAAACAGAATAGGTAAACATATTTTTTTAATACAACATTCTTTTATGTGTCGTTCAGTATTGGAGATTATCAATTGAAAAACATATAAAGGGTATCGTGTAATAAGTACGACTGTGCGTTATATTAATACTAGCTGCACCTCGCCACCCCCCCCTCCCCTTCCCCTCATCAATGGGATAGATGTACACATACATGCATACACACATGCTTTTCTATTTTATATATGTAAATATACCACCATCCATTTTTAACATATTCTCCGTGCTCAGGGTGTTCCGGAAAGATTGTTAGAGCCGAAAATGGCAGATGGGGAGGAGCATTGTGAACAACAATTTCCTTTGGCAAAATACGAAATGAGGCTTGGTTACCGAGTTATTAACACTAGAAAGACTGAAACTTAATATATACCTATATTGCCCNTCATGTAACAAAACGAATATGACTGATATTAATATCATCGTACTTCGAATACTTCCTAGGAGAATTTATATTAATAACAATTATAAGAATTTTTCTCAAGTCTTTAATAAATTAAACTACGATAAAAACAAAACGAAATACATAAAAACGATCATATAAGAAAATAAATTACGACTGTCTTATATGTCAATATCATTTTCAATAGAAAAGATCATTTTCAATAAAAAAAACCAGATCCATAAAAGGAATCGAAATAAATACGAGTATGTATTACACTAATATCCTTGAACTTCTTGTAATTCCTATAAGGATTTATATAAGGAAAAATTTCTGAGAATTTTCTGGACGTCGACCCTTTAATAAATCAAACTGCGATAAAGGAAGAACCGAGAGGAACGTTTGGAATTTGATGGATTAATTTTAAATGGTTGGATAGGAGGAAAGAGAAACATAGAGAAAGAGCATATAGGAAAAAGCCCAAGCGCCACCTGTCCATCGATAAGCGACGGTAATTATTATTGCCTTTTTTTTCCAATTCGATTTGAAAGAATCAATCACCGAAGCCGGTAATGCCGCCAATTATATAGTTCCTATCGATCGGTAGTAAGGACAAGCCAAAATGGCGAGTGGGGGGTGTTTATCGAGCCGAAGGAAGCCATTCAAAAAAAGCACGATCCTGAATTCCGTCGGACGGTTGGAACAATCGCGCACGCAGCATCCATTATCCCGCCAAAGTTTCATACGGTTCTACGGTCCGATTTTAAAAGGAACTCCAGTCGCGGCCGAAGGGGGTAACGGCGCCGATAAGCGTGGGGACACGCGAACAATAGCGACCGCAGGACGAATTCGAAATACAAACGAGAACGAAAGCGCTTACCGGTTTGTTGTCTTCACTGCGAAGCGGTAACACTTACCCTCGCTGTGGCCGCCGCACCACTACTGGTCCTCCGCACACCGCTCGAACCCCAAGCGTTCAGTTCACGCGCCTGCGCGATTACCCCTTCGTTCGGAGTACGAATTCGCCAAGCGACATCTGCCGGGCTGTTGAAATTTCGAATGGGCTTCCCGCCAATTTTCCATACTGAATTAAAATATCGCACTATCGCATTTAAATTAAAGAATAATTAACGTAGGTTAAGGATATTAGATCTCGCGTTATCCAAATTGCTCGTGAAATTATTATAACGCGATATTATAAAAGTTAAAGGAAATATGCAAATTTAAATGGGACGTGGCGCGATAATTGACCGGCGCATGCCCATCGTTTTGATTTTGAATCGAACATGCACGGTTAACCTAATTAAAAAAATTAAAAAGATACCCAAAGCTACGGTATTAAGACTTTTATTCGCACCTTTGAACAGCGCTGTTTATAATCCTGTATGACTTACATTATTCCTGTGCTCCTCTCATGTCTACGAAAAAAAAAGAAAGAAAAACAACACGAAGTTGCATCCTTCGTTTGGCAGCGTTTGTGATCGGAGCGTTTCTTTCGTATTTCTCCGTTCTCTCGTTTCCACAGGCTCGTCTCGAATTAATCAAGCGGATTCTCTCTGATGTACATATAAATACATTATAATATCATGCCCAACGGTAATTATTATAATCAAGCATTTCTAGTCTTTACAAGGACGTGTTAATCTATTTTTCGTACTGCTTTGCATAGTTACCCTTGAATTGGGCGAATTCTCTTAAGTAAATCTTCGCAAAGTGGAATAAGTATATTTCATTATACAGGGTGAATCACATAAGGTGTTCGTTGTAGGTTAAGAATTTTTACACGAACGTTGCATGGCTTGAAGAGAGAAGAAACAACGACAGACCACAACACTGCATATCCCCATATTTTTCTATAATTCTACATGCTAACTCAGAATTATATAAAAATAAGTGAATAGAAATAATGTGTTCCTTTCTCGAAATTCTAATACAATCATTATTGTAATAAAATACTACATGATTAATCAAGATAACACTGTTCTTATTCCTTTCTCTCTTAAAATTCTAACACAAACAACCCTTGTTAAAAAACTTTCATTGTACAACAAATACCTTATACAACTCATCCTATACAGGAATCAGTTAATTAGGAATGACTCGTCTGTGCAAAATATCTGTTCGCCTAACAGCACTTATTGATTCCGTTCTAAATAAATGTTCTACGTCTCATTACATCCATACACATAGTTGCCCTGTCTGTACATTTCTACAATTGTCATACTCGTAAGAAGACTCATTTTCCTCCGTGTCACGTTGCCTCATTAATTCGAGATCAGCCTATACATATACATATATACACGTACATCATACACACATGTATACATACATAATAGTGGAAGGAAACGATCTTTTCCTCCGCAGGATCTCATCGAAGAGAACAGTATCTCTCAGACGTCCAATGAATATTGCTCCTCATCAGAGGGTTCTATATTTAATTGTGAAGTGTCTGTTCCAGATACGCGGGCGTGCACGATTATTTACAAAAACATTTCGGCCGAGGAGGGGACCACAGCGAGGAACAAAATTCAATTCGTAATTCCATTCAATTTTCCTCCTCCCTGTATTATTATTATTATTGTATAGCTGCTGGCTAACTAATGATAAAAAATATGTTACAGTTTAAAAACATACAAATCGCACGGGGAATTAATTTAAAAGCGGTTTCAAGCGATTCGTGGAGGGGGGGAAATCTAAGTACCTAAGAGAAAGGGAAATAAATTCCCGGGGGACTGTAATATCGTTCGTAGAAAGATTAAGAGTTCGTTCACCGGGCGAACGTGGACGAAAGAAGACTGTAACTAAGAGTGACAGTATTATAATAATCACCTAGAATAGTAATAAAATAATAATAATAATAATAATAATAATAATAATAATTACAATTGAATTATATTTAAATGCTTTAACATTTCTTAAAACAAGAGTAACATTCATTCCTAAGTAGCGTATAGGTACATATATATATACATGTATATAGCCGACGATACAGACACATATATATGTACATATACACATATATGTGTGTATATTTTATACATATGTATGTATGTATATTTATATATATACACACATATATGTATGGTTCTTTTGTATACCTAAGTATATTTTTTTATTCTAATCGTCGATTGAACAATCGTTTTTGTAGGTTCGTATCTGTTTTCTTTTTTTATCTTGAACACAGTTCACGATTGCTAAACACTTTCACTGTTAATCAAACAATGGTTTCTCGTTAATGTCCCTCTGTTTCGTTTTCCCCGACCCCTATTTGCTTTTTATACCTGTATTCAATCCAGAGATTTGATTACTTTTATTATTATTTCACTTGAGTCTTAATATGTTGCAAGAATTCGTAATAACTGAGTGAATTTTCGAAACGGTCCTCGATCAATCGTTCGATGAACAGAGTCCTGAAGTGGCTGTCGTCCCTGGAAAACAAAGATCAAGGTTCGCCCTGTTAAGCACAGAAGTGGACACGCGCGAACGTTGTCGTAACGAGCTTCGAAATTTGATGTTCCATTAGAAAGCTTGTAACGCGACTACGTAGTTTGCACCGACTGTGTACCGAGTTAGAGGGTAGATTACGGACTAATGGGAAACTTTGCCCGCGACCCACTAAATTCGAAACTCGATCTCGCAACGTGTTTGCAAAACACGACGCTTAGAACTAAAATAATACAGCGAATATTTAATAATTTCGTGCGTTTTAGTTTTATTTAGTATTTAAATTGATCTTACCGAATGATTTGTACAGAAGCTGCGTATGGTTTCTCTTCTTGCAGGCTGAATACGAAATTGCGTAGCCTCTCGCTCTCCGGCGTGTCGATCTTCGGCAAATCGTACTAAAAATCCAATTAATTGTTTTGAAATATTGATACTATACAGGGCGTACCAGTATTGATGGTACGTCCGTGGAGGATGAGAAAATAAATCCAAAATATGGAATAGATTTTATTCACTTGAGGTTTTCTTTTCTAGAAAATCGACTTTGATTTCCCTCCCTATGAATCAAAATGTATTCAATTTTAAAAAACAAGAACAGAAAACGAGGAGGACTTGGTAAGAATTTCAAGCAGAATCATCAACGTGTTCGTCAGATTTTTATCACAGCCTCCCAAACGGACTTTCAGGGTTTCCCTTTTGACCCTTCAGCATACATTAAATGAATGACGCATCAAACTTACGAATTCCTCCGGTATCGAAGGGAAAGCAGAGACGCCGAGGACGTTGCAGCAGAACGAGGGGTGAATGTTCTTCCCGATGAGGATGAATATTTGATTGCCGGTGTCCATCAAGAATGCACCCCTAGAATCGAGTTTCTCCGCGGAGAGGTGCAACCTCGGTGGTTGCGGGCATAGTTTCCCGTCGATATCTTTCGCGTTACGGTCGTCGAGCGCGTGGACGGGGTACAGGTCCGGGTAAATCATCTGGATCAATTGAAACAGCGGCAGAGTGTCCAACTGGCACATCGCGTACACCCGGTCGTCGAGCCTCGTGTTCGTCCCCGACCTGAAGGCGACCTGAGAATAAGAAAACAAAAAACCTGTTATAATCGTTCTGTATTATTTTTTTAATACTAAACGTATTGATATTTCCACTACCTACGCGGTCTAAATGACCGGTCTTTAAAAATGTTACTGTTTTTATAATTAAGAAGCTAAGATTTCCTAACATTAAAATTTTCACGTTTTTTACTCTGCTTCATCAACAACCAGGCAAAAATAGTCCCATAAACTCATATTTTTAATTAATTTTCTGGGCAATATTGACATTCTCATCGCACCACTATTGAAGTCTAGCTCCTTAAATTATCCTTAGATAAAAGTCAATTTGTTACTGAATAAATGAACAATTTTCATAAAATAACGACACAAACTTATTTTTATTCAATTTCAATTATGAATTTGAAGAGAGGATTAAAAATAAGTGGTAGTCAATACTACATAAGTTTCAACGATCAATTTGAACGGTAATAACAGGCTTAGTGTCGATTAATACTTACGCATTTGAGCAGAGCGATAATATAAAGAGGCAGTAATTTCAGGCTCCCTGGAGCGAGGAGCGCACCGGAGCCCGCCGACTGGGACAATTTGTAGGCTGACAGAACGTCGATGGGCACGTTTATCAGAGCGTCTCTCGCGTCTGATAAGGAGGACTGCAGAGATCTGTCCACAGCTAAAAAACGATTCAAAATAGATTATAACGCAATTATGACAGAATGTGTGAAAATGAAATGTAATAAGAGAAATCTTACCCATTTTACCAAGTAGGCCCACTATACACTGTTGATCAGCAGAATGGAGAATGTCAGACAAATTGGAGACTACTGGCAGGCACAGTGTATGCACCCTAATTCTTCTTTCACCTGAAATATAATATACTGTTTAATTTGGTCTGTCTTATATAGATAGAAAAGCATTATAACATTATGAAATCTGTGTTGAAAATTACCAAAATTTGGAAGATAATTACGAAGTAACAAATTATCGTAGGACGATGATTTAAATTAAAGCTTGAAACGTCTACTTTAAAATGCTATTCAGAGATTCTTAATGTTCTCCTAGGATTTTATTTAATAATTAAAATTAAGGAAGCAGTCGAATGAAAAATTGTCGATCTTCTGTAACTTCGTAAAAGAAAATCGTAAATCAAATTATATAATTTCAATTTAAAGATGTATTGGCTATACAGTCAATCCCAAAAGT